TTTATTTTTAATATGTGTAAAAAGTATATGTTATTGTTATGTTGATATTTTTTTTACCAAATTATTTTTCATGGTTTTTTAATTAATGGTAAAGAAATTATTAGAGAGTAGAGTTCTTTGAGAAGTCTACCTGAGAAGTCTACTCGAGAACCCGAAAAGTCTATTTAGTATTCATTTCTAACCTAATTTATCTATGATGGTTTAAACTGATTATTTTGTGTCAAATTTTATTTTTAATAGGTGTAAAAAATATATGTTTGTGTTATGTATCTAATCTTTTTATCAAATTATTTTTCATGATTTTTAAAATTAATTGTAAACAAATTATTATAGAGTAGACTGAGAAGTCTACTCGAGAAGTCTACTCGAGCTCGAGTAGACTTCTTGGGGATAAAACAGTAATTGCGGCTGGCATTTTTTTGTTTGGTCAGAAGGGTTAATGTTGTAATTTCACTACTCCTGTGAGTTATTTTTGTCAAACATGCAAAAAGAGGTCTAGTTTTGCATTCAACTCAAGTTTTGAGTCATATTCAGTAATTCCCCCTTTATCTTTTGTGTGTTGTTTTGATCTGAATAGTTTATCTAGATATATTCCAATTTTAATTTGATTCATAACATAGTGATGGTTCCAAGATAGTGATGACCTCGACATGCAAAATATATCTATAGTTCTCTTTATCAACAAAGGTTAGATAAACTCTAAGATCCTCATCATCGGAAATAGTCCATTCTTCTTCGGGTCCTACCAGCAGTGGATAGTAACTCAATTTCAACTTCACCATACTTTCTTCTAACACAACCTTTTTGCATATTATCGCTTCTAGCATCGACAAAGTTATCTTCTCTATTGATGTCTGGAAAAATAAACTATATGTGCGACCTTTGCATTTAAAATGTATGTTGATGCTGTTGCTTATTGTGTCCTGCCAAAAAAATACAAAACTTCTATCAGTAATACTAGTTATCCCCAGTTATACGTTACTTTGATTCAACCACTTCAATCAATTTATTATCAATTTAAAGTCATAATCGATCCATAAACCATGGTATAAAACACAATATACGATTTTAAATTCTTAAAGATACAAATTTAGTCACTAGTGATACCAGTTTTACTAGTTATACTTTGTTTATTAGTAATATTAGTTATACCCAGTTGTTATATAGCGGGAACTCAAATTGGATAGATAGATGATTTCAGGTTCAATTCATTGTAATATACTTACAATTCAACCACTACAATATATGCATTACCAATTCAAAGTCCTAATCAACCTAATAACCATGCTAAAACACGCAATATGGATACCAAAACAATGATTTCCAATTTCTTAAAGATGTAACTTCATACAGTAATAATAATTTACTAGTTATATTTTATTTATCAGTAATACTAGTTGCACATAGTTATCATATCATGTGAACTCAAATTGGAGAATTTTGAGTTTAATTCTTTTTAATCTACTTACAATTTGCAACTACAATACTTTCATTGGTAATGCAGTCTCCTAATCAACACATAAAGCATGGGTAAAAATCCAATGTGCATAATCAAATCCAAGCCAATTCATATAATTCGATTTCTAACAAAAAAAAACCAATTTTATATGAACCAAATCACTAAAAACAGACCTGGAACTAGAATCTCGATGCAGTTTACTGGAGATTTCTACTGGCGGTGGAGACCTCATTACAATGACGAATGGTGACTGCAGAAGAACAACGTCGGATAGGGATCCAGATCAGAGAAAAAAAGAAGCTCGGTAAGAGAAGAATTATTTTTTATTTTTATTTTTAATCAAATTTTATTTGTTTAGTTTTAAATTTTTTAAATTATAATATCAAGAGTATTTTTGATATTACATATAAATAGAATAGAGGAATAGTATATAGATTAAGTTAGGATATAAGATATTTATTTTTCAGTTTTAAGGGCATATAAGATTAATCTTCAAAAAGGTTAATGTTCTACCAACTACATCGGTTAAGATTTGTAAATTGAATTAATTTAAATGGTTTGAATTTTTTTAATTAACAAAAATAAAAAAAAACTTTATTGAACAACTACCAAAAAATTGAGCTTAAAAAAATTGTCGGACCGTTTTTTTTTAAAATCAATTTCAACTTAGTTAAGAGCAAAATAGAAGAAGAATTAATGTAAATAACTTTAGTATTAATATTTAAAAAGTTTACAAGAGAAAAAATATAAAAGTGAACAACAATGACAAGCAGAAAAAAATAATATGTAATAAATTGTGAAACTAGAATTATGTGTCTTGATCTATACTCTTTCTCTTGCTTTATAACTCTAAAAACTATGTTTGACGTTATTATTCACTTCATTTGATTCTGGCTGTAATGATTGCATTTATTTGGTAGATTCAGCCGTTTTTAATCAAAACATTTTGTCATCCTTGTTTGAATAATTATACAGTTCGTCACTGATGTTGACTCTTAGGCTTAACTTCCGTCATTATTAATTGCACTGAACAAGTTTTAATGCATGATTTCCATTCGAGCTTTCCACTTCAGTAAGAAATCTAAACTCGTCGATAGATCTTGGGTTTCACTACTGAATAGGCTTAAAAATAATGGGCCGAAATTTGTATGTCAACGATCAACTTTGTTCTTGTCATAAATTAACAAATTATAAACAAATTCATTAAATGTATCTATTTTGATTTCATACCTTTTGATTAAATCCTTTAGTTTTTACAACTAAAATTTTCTTGTATTCATATGTTCCTCTAAAGCCTGAAACCATACAATTTCTTTTGATCATATTTTTTAGTTTTTATAGCCAAAAGTTTCTTCTTTTGGTTTTTATACGTTTATAACCACACCATTTTTTTTGTCATATCTTTAGTTTCTATAATCCATAATTTTTTTTATACATTTTTCAAAGACCTGTAATTATACAATTTCTTTTGGTCATATCTTTTAATTTCTATAATATAATCAGATTTTTTTTTATATACATTTCTCAAACGCTTGAAACCACACAATTTCATTTGGTCATATCCTTTAGTTTCTGCAGTCAAAACTTTCTTCCTTTGGCTTTTATACGTTTTTCAAACGCTTATAACAGCACAATTTCTTTTGGTCATATCTCTAGTTTCTACAATTAATTATTTTTTTTCTTTTATACATTTCTCAAACACCTGTAATCATACAATTTATATCGATCATATTTTTTAGTTTTTACAATTAAAAGTTTCTTCTTTTTATACGTTTCTCAAACGCCTAGAACCACACAATTTTTTTGGTTATATCCTTTAGTTTCTACAATTGAATTTTTCTTTAGGCCTAAAACCTCACAATTTATTTTGGTCATATCCTATGGCTTCTACAACCAAAATTTTATTCTTTTATATGTTTCTCAAATGATTGAAACCACACAATTTCTTTTGGTCCTATCTTTTAGTTTCTACAATCGAGATTTTCTTCTTTATATATGTTATCGAGACTTTCTTCTTTATATACGTTTCTCAAACGCTCGAAACCACACAATTTCTTTTGGTCATATCTTATTTATACAACCGAAATCTTCTTCATTTTATATGTTTCTCAAATGCCTCAAACAACACAATGTCTCTTCATGTGTTTCCTTCGTTTTCTCTGAGTGTTTTCTCTCATTCTTTCTCGTGATTATGACCTTGGTTTGGGGGTTTTGGGGATTCTAGACAAAACCAGTTATTTCTCTTTCATCCTCTCTCATCTAGATTTTTATAACAAAAGGAGTGTGTGTGTATACGTGTATTGTCGTTTTCTAAGTGACACCATAGAGTTCGATAGTAACGGTCCTCATTCAGGGAATCAAGCTTCTTGCTTTTGTTTAGGTCAGACAATAAAACGAAACATGAACCATGAAGTAGAAGCAGAAGCTGAAGGGGACTTCTGGTCCGAAATGCAGACGTGACCTGCCATCATCTTCTGGCCAGAAATGCAGACGTGACTCGTCATCCTCTTCTGGTTTCATGCATTAGTACTTCGACAAGAAACTCTATGTCTTCTTGAGCACCACTAGGATCAAGCATTTTAACAGCCACGTTCTTGAATAAGGTTTGTGTTTTATAGGTCAAAATTTTGTTTATTTGGTTAATCAATCTATAATCTATTTGATCTAATAACGTGTGGTTCAGTCTCTCATTGTGTTGTTTTGTTCCTTTGTAGCCAAACCATTAAGTGCTCCGTCCTCAGGAAGATATACCGCAACGTTACGAGATCGATACCAAAAATTTCACCTCTCGAGAACTGGCCACAACGACAAACAACTACAAGAAAAAGATGGTTTTGGTGCTATCCTTAAGGGCAAGCTGGAAAGTACTGGACAGGTAACTAGAAACAAAAACAGAAAAGAAATCTAATCTTTTTGGATAATTAATAAAATCAGTGATCTCTGAGTTGCTCTTGTTGCTGTATAAACTCTAATGAACTATTTGTTTGTTTTTGATTTGTTGTAGGTCTAAATTAAAGAACGTGGCTGTTGAAATGTTTGATCTGTGTGGTGTTCGAGGAGACGGAGTTTCTTGTGGAAGTCCTAATACCTGAAAGTAGAGGAAGTTGACGGGTCACGTCTGCATTTCTTATCCGAAGCGAGAGTCACCAGAAGACCGATGATTGGTCACGTCTGCTTTTCTGACGAGCAGTGCCTTTCAGCTTTTTATTCTGCGTCATGTTTCAGTTTCCTTCTCGGACCAAAACACAAGCAAGAAGTCATGATTCCCTGATCGTTTCACTTTCGGTTTAACCCTTTGCTGTCACTCCGAAAACAACAATACATATACACACACACACTCAGCTTTGTCAGAAAAATCGGGATTAGAGACATGACTAGAGAAATAAAAGATTTTGTTCTAGAATCCCCAAAAAGATGAAAGTATATGCTAGATTCAAACTCTCGTTAAAGTCAGTAGCTAATGTTTAATAGAACAAAAAATTGTAATGCAAATAAATATGTTTGAAACTGAAAACATATAAATATATATATATATATATATCTAGTTGGATCTAGGAGTGGCCCATTCGACCCTAAGGATGAGATTATCATACCCATAACCATCCAAGTTGTTAATTGCTCTCTGGGCGTCTTCTCTGCTCATGAAGTTGACAAAACCAAAGCCTCTGCTTACTCCGGTATTCTGGTCAAAGACCACATAGGCTCTAGACACAGCACCAAACGTACCAAACAAATCCATCAGATCCGGTTCACGAGTGTCTTCAGACAAGTTAGTCACACGTAAAGAGTTCTCGTCGTTCCTCCTCCTCCTCGTGTCTGAAACAGCTATACTTACTCCTCTCATGTTTGGTGGGACATAAGAACTAGAGTTGTTAGTAACAGCAGAAGTAGATGCTTCCACTTGATCTGTCGAGGAATGATTACTCATAGGACATCTCGCTGTCCAGTGCTCACCTCTCTTACCGCAATTCCTACATATCATCAGGACCGAACCGGGTTTACCCAAATCCGAATGTGCCTTTGTTTCTTCCGGTTTGGTACCTGAAAATATCAAAAGAAATTAATAAGAATGAGAGATTATCTTTCAAAACAGAGAGGTTACTTATAGGACAAGTAAATACAAGATTTACCGGAAAGATCCTGGGGTCGTTCCAAGAAGACGCATTCCTTCGAAACCGTTGTGTAGCCGACACTACTAGCATCATCTTTGACGGCGTCGCCGAACTTAGCCCATGTACGACGCCGTACCGTGATCGGTTTATCTCCAGCCCATCCCTTGTGGACACGTGTCCTGGTGGTGACTTTGACCGTTTTGCCCTCGTCGTTGAACTTGTACTCAATCACTGTCTTGTTACCATTCTCGTCAGGTCCGATCACTTGCTTCGCCGGAAGCAAGAAATCTAAGTTCTCATCGTCGTCCTCTACCTCTTCCCATAGAACCTTGTTTGTTTTCTCCATCGCTAAATATCTTTTTGATAGCTTGAAACTGAAGGCAGGTTTCTTTATTTAATATATATACATCTTTAGGAAAACAATTATCTCTTGCACACAAAAAAAAAAAGAAAAATTATCTATTCCTCTTTGATATATGTTTTCTTATTATTACTTGTTCCCTTTCATGTCATGTAATTAACTTTTTAGTTCCTTCATTTTGAAAACTCGTGGAAGCAATCTTTGTGAGTTTCCTTTTGTGTTCTTCTTCATATTAAAATTTACTTTTTGTTTTTTAACTTACGCAGTAAAAACATAATTAAACATAATTCAGCTGGTTTTTCTTCTGCTACTAATTGGTGATCTGTAAGAAAAGCAGAAACAAGAAAGAATATGATAAAATAGTTTCTGTATGACTGTATTGTCCTGATGCTTTTGTTTTTGCTTTTAACTTTTTTTCCTTCTTAATTTTTATTTTTTGGTAAACATGTTAAATTTTTCCTTCTTAATTTTTATTAGTCTTTTGATTTTTACACTCTTTCTTGTTGTACACTTATCTCATAGGACAATGCTAATAAAAAAATTATCTGAAAAAGAAAGAAGCATTTTGTTTTGAATTATTGATACATTTTTCATAGAAGCTTTTCGTTTCCGAAAAAGAAGATTCAGTCATGTGTTCTTCCGGATTGAGTTCTCTATGCATTCTTGATCACTGCAGATCGCGCTTTCAGGTTCAAGAAAATGCCCCTGAAAGTATCCAAAGAATTAAAAATGTTACCAAAAAAACGTTTTCATCAAAAACAAACCGAAAATAGCAAAACGAGAAAAGAAAGATTTAAGATTTTACCAGCAAGAACCGATGAAGCTGCCGAACAATACACGGAATTGCAGAGGAACATACTGGTAATTAATCCATCCCACAACAGGCCAGAACTAGTTACATACAAAGTTTCATAAATCAGAACCAATCAAATTAGACAATGTAAAAAATGTAACATTAATAATAATGTGTATGTTCTATGGTTTTGTAATTGCAAATAGAAAAGTAACTCTCTTAATTTTTTACCTTCCATGCTGTGAACTGGATCGTACTGTAATCTTTCCCAACTTTTTGTTTCACTAGCTTCCATGGCCTTCCTGTAAAAAACATTGCAAAACACTAAAGATAAAACTCAAATGGCATTGAATTAAAAACTGAACCATGATCATACATACCTTCAACTACTAAACCATAGTAAGACATGAAAAGAAAATTGTTCCAAGGAGAGGATGTAAGTTGCTCCAACAAAACCTGCTTCAACATAGTTTCTGTTAGCTCACAATATTGGTCCTTAAGATATTGATCATCGAAAGAGAGATACATGTAACTTCTAGCTTAAAGAAACTACATTTCTGACTATTCTCTATTCTAAGCACATTCAACTTCATCATACCACAAGAAGAATTCAGAAAATGCACATTCATTTTGATGAATCATACAAAGAAAATGTTGAGTCTATAACCAATGAAGAAACAGTCATGACTGTCCATTTAACTCAAAGGACTCGATTCTTTCTTAGGGGATTATGGTATCTACAAATTAACTTAGATACCCACAACAATTTTAAAGAAAAGCATTGAAGAAAGATGCTTGTTTTGTAAAGAACAAAAACGTTTGATAGCGAAAAGGTTTAACCTTTTTGGCGACTGTTGTATTGTCCTTCTTCTCTTTGAAAATAGCATCCATCAATTTGTGGAAGAAGTGACCAAATGGCCCACCATAACATAACCCATACAACTACAGAGATTCAAAACCAAAACTCACATTCAGAATCTCAGAAACAAGAACAGTATGTGAGATCAAAACTCATATCTAGCACATTAGAAAAGTAAAGTTGCGAACCGCAAGGAGAAGCAATCTCCGGAACTGAATCCTTTTCACTCCAGAGATCTTCTGAGCTATGGCATCACTACAACCCGCCAAAACCCCAGCAGTGATCGCCTGCAAAATCAATTCAAAAACAAAAAGAGAGCTCAAAAAACAAAAACTTTATACGAAACCCATGAAGATTGAGAGAAGTATTTGATCAAATTGAGGACCTTGGTTCGTAAAGGGTGAGTTTGAAGCTGAATCAGATATTTTCTCCATGCGTCTTTAGCAAAATCCGACATGGCTGAAGATATTTGTCTGGTCTTTAATGTCAAACGAGTAAAAGGGAGAAAGAAAGAGGTAAAGAGAGCTATGAGCAGAGGAAGAAGATGACTAGAGAAAGAGAAGATCCAGATTTGATTATGAGAAATTTAATCATGTTTTGTTTTAATTTATTTTAACAAAACAAACAGATTAAGGGTTAGGTGGCAACGATGCATTTAGTATTAAAAGATACAAACAAACAAATAATGACTTAATCTCCTGCCTATATATGGCTCGTTTAGTACTAATCTGATTAGCTGTTTTTTCTATAAGTTCACAAGTTGTCTCATTGGTTTAGCAATCTGATTAGCTGTTTTGTCTTTTCGCAAATTTTGTTGTTCTACACTAAAATAATCATCTACCTAATTATCAATTTTATGGTGCGACTTGCCTAATTTTTCTGCCGGTTTTTGGCCAATTCACCCAATTATCTCTCTTTTCTCAAATAGCTCTTCCATTAGTTAACAATCTAGAAATCCTCTGAGTAACAAAAACTGTGAAATTGATCAAAACACCAGATGTATGTACAAACAAAAGTCAAATAAGCAGACAGCAAACACAAACAGAATTCAGAAGAGCACACATAGCTTGGGTAAGTTATTTGTCCTTAACCAGCGAGCAAAAGTATGAACACGGCACAAGAGAAGCAGCACAAGCTGTGCTATAAAAAAACTCTTTTCAACAGAGAGACGTGGGAACACCATCTTAGCTTGATCTATTGATTTTACTCACCTGAAAAAATAATCAAATTTTATTAACGATTAACATCTGACACACTGTGATACGCAATGGATTCAAAAGTTTATTGCTTTTACCTATAAGATGTGCCTCCATAAAGCGGGACGATCTCTTGAGATGATGAGGACACGAGAGCTTGAGTAATCGAACGAAGGACAATACATATCGTTTGGACCGATAATCTCTCTTACGGTTTGGAGGTTTCCACAGTCACCTGTCAAAGGATGTTGCAAGGTCTCTTCTTTCGCAGTATCAAACACGAAAAGCCCCATACCAGAAGTAGCCATGACAAAGTTCGAGTTTCCCCAGACTTGCGTTATTGCAGAGTGGTGCGAGTGAGAGTTTGAGTCAGGTAGGCTGTAAGTGCTCACAAGGCGCTGTTTCCGTAAGGAGAATTGCTGCACTTGAGATGAAGAAGAAGAAGCCAGATGTGGTTTTTTCACAGATGATGGTTTTTGATTGGTACATCCGATAAATACTGAATCTCCTCGAGATGATACACATTGAGCATTAACGCCGAGTTTGGGTATCTTAGCACCAATCCCAGATGGGTTACGAAAATCCATGATGTTAATTGAATCAGTAGTGCAGAAGACTCCATCGTTGCCTTCAGCGTCCATGGAACTGACTCTGCATTTCAGGTGGAGACAAACTAATAAGTCAAACGAAAGAGATACTAAAGTATCCACTTGTTTTAGCTTCTTCATGTTTCAGATAAAAATGATGAAACAAAGTTTTTACCTTTGACGAACACCTCCTCCAACTTCAGCATCTGTGTTATTGATATGAAAAGCAGAGATCTTTCGCCCTGAAGAGGAAATTGTGAGCTGTGCTTCAGGGTGAAGGGAATTAACATCCCAAACAGAAATCGCTTCAGTTTCTGCTATGACAAGTTTTCCTCGATTCCTCCATTGTAAAGGGCTTGAATAATCTAAAGCTGACACAGGATTCTGCACTTCCCATCTCATGATTTGTTCCCCATCTCGTATGTCAAAGACCTTAACTACGCTTTGTAAACTAGCGGTCGAAGATATGAGAGGACCGCATGGTCTGTACCACCATTGTTGAGTTTCTGGTATTAATGAACAAGACAACGTGTTCCTACCACGCGACGTGTTGTTGGATAAAGGAGCAAGAGCCGTCCTTGAGGCTCTTGAAGATCCGTCCTCGATGTGGAGTGCCTTTATGTCTTTGGTGTAGAAATCCCATGAACAAAACCCAGACTCTAGTGTGTTCCCAGCAGAAGCAGCTACAACATATCTGCCTGAGCAGCCATCTGCACCTGGTGCACGAACTACCCAGCAATCTCTCCACGTGTTTGGTGACATACCATCTGGAGGATTGTACACAGCTTTCACCTGAAAAGAAGTTTCAGGTCATTGATGTAAAAGATAACAATGCATATACGGAGCACGAATTCCAATCAATATATGCAAAGCCACCTAGACTGATACATTCATCACTCAAGAGCATTACATACAGCATATATGTCAAAATAGCAGCTTTAATATAAACACAACCAAATCAAGAAACACAATGTCAGGCATCATCAACGTGGTAACTTGAGAAATGCGTATGCTGTGGTCAATGTGAGAATTTAATAAAAATGTTCCACACCAACAAAGTTAAAGTTAGATCAAGCATGAAGCTAGAAATTTCTCAGGCATGACATGTTTTTTTTATAAACTTAGTTAATACGTTGAGAAACTGAAAGCATAGTAGTACCTCACAGTTAGCAACGTCGTAATACGAGCATGAGCCATCATCATGAGCGAGTATAACTGCTTCGCCCTCTGATACAAACCATCCTCCAGTAGAAGTTTTGGATCCAATGTCATTGAGTTGGTACATGCATCCCTCCTCTATCTCTTCCAGCTCCATCTCGTCTCTATTCTCTTCCTCATCAATTTCCTCGAGGGCCTCGTCCGCTCTGAGAATCTCAGCTAAGTTGGGAGTCAGATTGACGTCTTTTGAAGAATCGTTTTCCTTCGATGGTTCCTCCGTATCCATCTCCTGCACTTCCACACTTTCCAGCACATTCTGATCACTACCAGATGTGTCTTTTTCCTTGTCAAGTGAGGCCAAGAACTCTAGAGCTATCGAATTCTCCTCAGCA